CCCCCCCCCCCCCCAAAAAAAAAGTATATCAATGTAAATTTTATTCATGAAAATGAAATGATTACAGTATCAAAGGAAACAATCAACAGTTGTTTATTTTTGACATAATCATGCAGCTCTAGATTATCTATTTTACCTCTACTTTAAATGCTACATCTGTTTATGAAGTTAAATCTCACATCAGTTTAACAGTTTAATCAATCACAGAATTATGCAGATTTTTGTTTTTGCAAATCGAATGTTGCATTCTCCTTATCTGTCGAATGGTGACCTTTCAAATTGCATCATCCCAATCTTTGATCATATGTCACATCTTGTATTCTCACTGCCTCTTCTTCATTCAATTTCCTCTCTCCGCATTTCCTTTGGGTACACTTGAATGCAATAATTCAAATGGAACAATTCCACTAGCACTTCTCCGGTCTCTTTATAGAGATGTTTCTGAGGTACAGCTCATTAATTAACACACTACCCTGTTCAATTTGTTCAGTAATTCAAACCAGGAAATGCAAAGCCATTTAAGCATTTTCAGACTCTGAAACAAACGACAGCATCAAGATTGCAAACGTAGGTTGCACACACTTTCATAATGTGTGCACGTGGGTGGGGGACTTTTTTTCTAATGCTTATTGTTGTCACTTTTTTTTTTTCTAAGAAAAAGCCGCATGGATTATTTCCTAGAGCAATTGCCCCACATGACAGATTATTTCAAAGGAAATTTGCATGCTTGTGGGGAATTTCTTATTTTCCTTCCAGCATCTTACATTGCCACACTCATTGATCAACAGATGTGTATCCTGTTACTGAGTTCAGCAACAGCAGTCGCCACTCCACTATACCCAGAGGTCTATTAGTGGGGCTGGGAGGAGGGATCGGGGTGGATTTTTGGTGTAATGTTGTAGTCCCATATGTGCCTTCTTTTTGACACAGTGCAGAGCCTATGTAGTGATGGGCATGATGTATTTGAATCTGTGACCTATCATATTGTCTGTCCCTGGGGGTACTGCAAGCACATAATCTGATGATGTTATTGAAATATATACATTAGACTGCCTGTGTCTAGAAAAAAAAAAGTAGTTGAGAGGAGCTCTTTGGTGTTTAATGTGTTTGTAATGGATTGCCTTTCAGAGGCATTAGCTCATCCCTTTAAGAGGTATTCATATCTGTTTCCACAGGCCACAGCCACACCAAAAGGTGTTCAAACCTCTGAGCTTGAGTGAAACCCAATCTTCTGGCTTTTATAATCTGAGCCTTTCCGTTGAATGAGCATGATGATAAACGTCAGAAATGTAATGGAGCGGAGGAAACCTGTCTTGAAAGTAGAGTCTCAAAAATGTAATTTGCATCACAGAATGTGGCACACAATGAGTCACATTCTGGCTGAGGAATGCACTGGTCAGAAATGTCGTGAATGATATTTTGTTGATCTTTGTGTAGACTTTTCTTTTGTCGTTGTAGTAGCGTAGCTTGGCACAGAGCATCGTCCCAGCTACTCTGAGCGCTCGAGAACTCTCTGGGCAATTGGAAGGGTAGACGACCCACCACCTTCAACCCCCATTCCCCATCTCCATTCAAATGTGTCTTCCAGAGGGTGCTGGATGAGGAAAGGAGGAGAGCTAATTCGTCAATGATCTTCCTACTAATCCCCCACTCTTTGCCTGAAGGCGCTCAAGCTATGCATCCCTCCCCCAAACCCAGCCCCCCTAACAAATACACTCTCCCTCACACAGACACATTCAGAGTCTGCCTCAACACGTCCAGTGGGAGAAGATGAATGTAATAGGGTAGTTTGTAGTCTGCCACGGTGGTGTCCTGGGAGGAGTGCTTTTGCACTGGCTGTGAATGAGAGCTAAAGAGTTTATTACAGTTTGGGGTGAGGTGTGGTGAGACAGGGCGGTGTCTAGGCTTTGTCTCGGGCTGTAAGAGGAGAACGGGATCTGCTAGGAGGAGTCACACTCAAACAGGAACTGCAGAGAATAGATGGAGTGAGCGAATGTTAGTGTGGACTCACTCCGATCATGCTGCAGGGCAGGAGGTGCCTTCGGAGCCTCCCAACAGGCGCAAGTGATCAGTCTCTCTCAGATCTTTGAGCAGGTTCTGGATACAGTTGGATTACTACTGAGAGGATACTACTCATGTGCTTTCAAGTTTGGAGACTTTGAGCAGGTTTTCAAAGCTTGAACTGAGCTTGATCTGCAGCTATCAAATTTTGCTGCGGTTTGGCTTCAGCTGGACGGATACTTTTGTGTGTGTGTGTGTACCTGTGAAGTGATTCAAGTTGTGAAGTACCCTGTTTAAATGCAAAGCATTTGTGGAATATGGGACATTTTGTTGTTCAAGTGGATTTGCCATGGATTCTCTGTTCACTTCGACTTGTCATTATGATAAGTATGTTTTACTGTTCCACTTATTTGTGAGGGCAAGTTCTGTAGTCGAATAGAGTGCATGTGTGCCCTCAAAAACATAAGGCAGTCTCTTTTTATACAGTAACTCTACCATACAAGTTGGGGGGTTTTATAGCTTTGAAAGATTTATACTTGTATTTTTATATTAGTCAACTTTGCTTTAAATATTACGGTCCGAGTGTCTCCATTTTTCTCCAGTACAGGGAGATTATGATTGGTGTATTGAAGTTTCTCAACAATCGATTGGGCATCTAGTCTTAGGTAGTTAATCTTAGGAGCCCAAGAGATAGAGATCAATGATGTCTTCTGTGTACAATGTGTTATCGGACAAACCGTTGCATGCAAGTCGATATCTCACTCCAAATAGTGCGAATTTCTGTTAAAGATGACCAGCTCTGTCCTCTCTTTGAAGCCACTGTATTCACTATTAGGGCTGCACGATAAATCGAAATGGAATCGAGATTGCGATTCGACAGAAGCTGCGATTGTCATGCGTATCTTTCACTCGCGCACATCAGCTATACAGGTGTTAATACTGAATGTTTAACATTATATTCATTGCATACATTTACTTCGTAGTTGACATCATTAACTCCTTTCTGCTGTCTGTTGTTCTGTTATCTGTGTTTCTTTGTTTGAATATGGCGTTTATCACATGCTGTGTGGTATCGGCGTTTGGTATCGGGGCATTTTAATGAGTACGAGTACAGGAGACCAGTATCGGGCCCGATACAGATACCAGATAAAAATTTGCTCATTATTTGAATTTATACAAATCCATCTAATCTGAAACCTCGCACTCTTGCATGCCATTAATCAGTGTCTATTGTCAGAGCCAACTGATCTCCCGAGGCATGAAAGAGAGAACAAGCATTCGCTTTCTTGCAAATTGGAGAATATTTACCTGCCACCAGCAGATGCAGAAAAGTTCTTGAATTCTTTTATTATGCAAAAATAAGCTCCAATAAAGCCAGCACATTGCTACCTGTAATTTTTTACTTGCAGCACTGTAACTCAAGGGTCTTTCCCTGTAAAGCTGTATAAAGTTCCCACTTAAGTGCTCACTTAAGGGTTCAGTGTTGAGCAGGGCTCCTTGAACTTTAGAGTTCCTGAATTCTTGAATCTGCTCTACTGAGTTTAAACCTATGTGCTAGCTGTTCCAATCCTTGGCTAACACTATCTATTGTCAGTGCATATTTAACAGTATTTTTTCTTGTTTTCTTGTCTTTGCAGTTGCTGGTAAAGTTTCTCCTACCAGTTCAGATGCCCTCTTCAGTGTTCCGGTTCCTAGTACCACCTCCAGCCCGCCAGAAGTTTACCTCCCTGCCAACTTTAAGCTCTCCAACACACAGTTGGCCTTCTTTCTCCAAGAGAACCGAGTTCAACCATATGGCAGCCAACGTGGACACCCTCTTCAGCGTTCAGAAAGCTTTGTGGTCTTCCAAACCAAGGAGCTGCCTGCAATCAACATCTCACTTGGACCTTTTACCCAAGACCAGACGTTGTCCAAGGACCTACTGCAGCCGTCAAGTCCTTTGGACATTCCTGGAAGGCTGACAGTCAACTGGAAGGTCCGGGCTTTTATTGTACAGTCTAGAGTTTTTGCTAGTAACCCACTGGTTCAGGTGCTGTTCTATATCGCAGGACGGGACTGGGATGACTTCAAGATTCAGGACAAGCTTCCATGTGTGCGGCTGCATGCTTTTAGAGATGTTCGGGAGATCAAAACTTCCTGCAGGCTTCAAGGGAATCTGGCGCAGTGCTTGGCCCAACTGGATCTCCCTTCCACTTGGTTTAATGTTAATGTAGCACCATTGGGTCGCAGAAAGTCCTCAGGGACAGATGGGCTTGAGTTGAGTGGAGAGACCCTTCAAGTAGAGCTTTACTATACCCTCCATGATCCAGACAGCAATGATGAATGTGGGGAGAGCTACCCACGCCGGGGAGGGGCATCCAGAGGGGAGAGCTCCCAACAACCCCTTCTCCGTATTGGGAGCATCAGTTTGTACCAGCCCAGTCAGGAACAACTGGTGGTAGACAAACAGCTTGACAAGAACCTCTTTCTGAGGCTACCAGAGAGGCCATTAAAACCAGGAGAGACCCTCAACATCTACCTGCTCCTGGTCCCAAATTCTACTGTCGAGCAGTTTACACTAAAGTAAGTTATTTTCTTATTTCTTATCCACGTATGCATGGGGTGTCCTTATACTTAATAAGAAGCAAATTCTTCTTATTAAGTATAAGCTATTGCATAGCTATTGCATCCTTCTCCGTATTGGGAGCATCAGTTTGTACCAGCCCAGTCAGGAACAACTGGTGGTAGACAAACAGCTTGACAAGAACCTCTTTCTGAGGCTACCAGAGAGGCCATTAAAACCAGGAGAGACCCTCAACATCTACCTGCTCCTGGTCCCAAATTCTACTGTCGAGCAGTTTACACTAAAGTAAGTTATTTTCTTATTTCTTATCCACGTATGCATGGGGTGTCCTAGCAGGGCTTATACGTAATAATAAGCAAATTCTTCTTATTAAGTATAAGCTATTGCATAGCTATTGCATACGCAGTCCCATTTATGCATAGCAGTACGTATGCACCACGTCAGGATTTATTCCGGTGTCATTCATTGTCTCGATTTCTGCAAGCTCCAGAGAGTTGGAAAAAAAAATCTCATTGACTCAGATTCCTTACAAGGTGAAAACTGATTTCCAAGAGATGAGACACAAATCACAGAGGATCTAACTAAATCTCTAGTGGAGTGCCAGGCTTTAGGAGATTGTGAGAAGGATTCTGCTTTTCAAAGTAAAGACATAATGGGTATTAATTGACATCCGTTCAAATTAAATTTCTCATGAGCTTGACCCAGTTCTCGTCGAATTAGAGCCAAGGGGATATGAGGCATATTTCTCATCTGGTCTGTGTGTTTTATTTTATTTCTCATTGTCAACAGAATAGGAGGGTTATGGTTCTTGTGTAGTAAAGCTATTCTTTAAATCCTTGAAGGCAGAGGAAAATTAGCCTTTTTTTCCTCAGATGAGAGAAATGGGAGGGGAGGTAGGATATTAGCTGCTCTTTGAGGCATGTCGAAGGAATGCTCCATAAACAGAGTCCCTCTAATTGTAATGGAAACTCACAGACTTCAATTTAGAAATTCAACATGAATTAATTAGGCTTCGATAACTCATTAACCCGAAAAGAAGCAGGCAGAGCTGTGGTGTAGCCTTAGCAAGTATAGTTCATTAAGTTTTATCTGAAATAGTCTGAACTTTAGTCTGTGTGTCTACAGAGTGGACCCATTTTTTGTGAAGTCTGACAGTCATTATGGGCCAGAAGATGTTGCAGTGTGTGCAGTATTATATAGTTTTATGTAGGCTGTATTATTGTTAGACTTTATGGATTGCACCTGTACTGAAGAACAATAATGGGGAAAAAATGCATTGCGTTGTCATTTTTTTATGGCATTGTCTTGGTATACTGACACCTAGTGATGTGGATGCAGCATCACACTATGCCCTATTCGCTGTCAGATATGATTCATTTATTCAACAACCAAAAATTTCTCATAACAGAAAGCTTGTTGAAATTGTTCTTAAAATGTTCTTAACAAGAGTGTCTCAATATTGACAAATGTGGGAAAATCTAACAGTTTTTATTAGGCTCCTTTTTATATGAGTGTACATGATTTAAACAGATTTGTCAAAAGTGCCGTTCATTTGTTTGTGTTTTATCTCATTTTTAATGAGATAAAAAAATATTGAGTGGACCTTTAAAAACAGCTCTCCTTTTGAAGACATATAAATCAATATTATATGTCATACAGCCTTTAAAAGAAAAGCCTGTTCAAATTACAGAGTAGATGTGGGCATATCACAGTGATGTGTCCAGATAGTGACAGAGTTACATTGCTGCTTGTCACTATGAGCATCATGATCCATTTCCTAAACCTAATCCTCTTAATGTTATGGCATATGTAGAGAATTATCCTTAGTTTGTAAGTGAAATCTGGAAGAGTTATCTTCATCCCGGGGCATTTTGGCAAAAAGGGCCATCAACCTGATTGATATTGTAAAGAAGCAGTTGCCTAATTTCTATTCCATGTCATGAGGGAATGATTTAATACCTTTTTGCCAACCTAATATCTTCAATGAAAGTTAATCTGCAGTAGTTTTTTAGTTTGCTTTGATATTAAATTCCAAACAGTAAATCTCTCTGACCTCATACTTTTATGCACTCGTATTGGAGTTTTTGTGGTCCAATATGGTGGCATTAATTCTCCAAGGAAAAGCTGAAGAGCAATAAAAGCTCGGGCAGAAAGAAAGGAGATGAAAGTCTGAAGTTGAGAGCTCTGAGCCGGTCAACTCAATGGGAGGTGAATTAAACTGTGCTGGGAGCCAAAAGTTGAGGGATACCAACAAAAAAGGCTATTAAAGATGTAATAAAGGAACTCTTTAAATATGAATTAAGCTCAGCTGAAGTCGCCACCCACTTCACATTCCTTCCCACCATCAGGTTCCTTTCATTTTTCCTACAGTTTAAGACCTTCAACTGTTTTCATCTGTTATTTATAGAGATTGCATCTTAAAGTGATTAATCATGGAGAAATATTACATTTTGGATCGACAGTGTTGACCCGCTAGTCATCGCAGAGTAAGAATTACTAGCTCACCGTTGTAGAATGATCATGAAAAACAGTGTGTTGTACGTCTAACAACTGAGAAAAAAATATTTGGGTCTGACAGGGGGCTACTTCAGAGCTGTTGAGGCAATACAAGATTGTTGTGAGTATCTTATTAGCATTTAAATGTCTTTTAAATTAAATTGACTACATTAGTACATGTACAATCGGTTTCCAGCAATTCAGACAAACAGATGTTGTGAGGCAAAAACCAGTGGCAACATTCAATCATTTGCCTACCCAGGAGGTCATGAAACAATTCTAAATATATTGTTTTCAAGCTGAATGCAGAGCTGTTGAATTGTACAAATACAGAATAGTTGACCTGTCATATTGTTCCTTGTTCCTTGGCCAGAGTAGTTATCAGAATATGGTTAGTTATTGTTTATTAATATTGGTGTGAAACCACAGACATGAATGTTCTGAAGAGCTGTTGCTATTATTTATCTCTTCGGCTTGCATATGATAAAACTGTCAAAACAACCTCTTAAATATGCATTGAATGAGTCCATATTTAAGGACGAGAATATCTTAGAGACGAGAGATCTTAGGTGGACTCCATGGATTTGAGCCAGTAAGCAACAACCCTAAACTCCTTAGTAACCACTAAGCAGCAACAACCCAAAATAGCCTAGAAACTGCATAGCAACATTCTGAACACCTTAACAAAGCCAAAGCATTGTGGCAGTGAGATTGCACTTTTTATTCAAAGTGTGTATGCTAAATCAAGTTCTGATCACTATTTGCATTAGTTTTGAACCATTTTTTTTCAAGCCATGAAAATAAATTGCATCCACATTTCACATAAAGATTTGGATAGCAAACAGTGAAGTAATAATGGAAAAACAACATGCTGTTTCTTTATCAACACTTCAGTGCAACTAAATGGTTCAAAAGGATTGCCCAACTCATCCTTTGCATACATATACAACACTGTAAGGCCTGACATATGGAGATAGTCAGAAAAATTTAAATGGAACAGGTTATTGAACCTTTAGACAAAATAAAATAAAAATAAAAAGTTGGTAATTTTTTTCCCCCTTAAATGATACATCAGGCTTTTATGGCTCATGTAACATGACATACAAAATACATAGTTCATATTCGAAGAGGGAAAAAATAACTCTTCAGAGGCCCAAAAAGAGCAAAAATATGCTATTTAATGCAGTTGCTGATATTTAAATGGCCAAAAAGTAAGGCCAGTCAGATCTGTATAACAGTATAACAGAATACTTGCATAAAATGCATATAATAACATGTTTTAGTAAGATGTTATTTCAATGATGTTATTGTGGGGTGTAAAACATGTAATGCAATGCAATACAATGATGATTGAGAGATGTACCGATAAATGTTCCTCAGAAGTCTGATGTATTATTTTTGATACTCACATTTATCATGTTTTTATATATAATCAAGTAAACCTAAATTGCTTCAATCTAGTAAGCGTTCATCTTGAAATACATACTAGACATAATACATACTTATACTTAAAGGCCCTTTGCTTGCTAAAAAGTATAAACTATCAATCAGACAATACAAGGCATGTTGTAAATAGTGTACAACAGGTTTTGTAGCAAAGTTTTGATCACATAAATTTGCATATCAAATAAGATACAGTAGGCTTTATTGGGTTAATGAATTCTGTTATCATAGTCATTTGATCATGGCAGTATGCTGAGGATGAAACAATGTTTTCTGCATGTCTTTGTCATTGTTATCTTACCTCTTAGAGATTTAATAAATTATATTCAAGAACTGGCATCCATTGTCTGAATATGCCAGAAATGATGGAGATGTTAACATTTGTGTATCACAGCAATCTAATGAGAGGAGAGTGACCGCATGTTTCAGCTACAGCTCACATCCATCTATGACAAGATAAACGATATATGAGAGGACCGTAACTTAAAGGTATACAAGCATGCCATTAGAGACAACAGAACGGCTGCAAGACACAAAACAATCCATGAGTTATCATGATGTTTGTAGCAGAGGGTGAAGGTTATGAAAGCACATATATTCCAATTACTCTGAGGAAGGTTTAGTCCTCTCAAAAAACTACATTGCCTGAAGGTCGTGTATCGTCACCCCTGTGTTCTATAGCTCATTGTGTTCAGTGAGCCCTATTCTCCCCACGCTTCTTGTGTCATTGCTGTCGCCACGTCTGATTGGGTGACTCAACGAGGTGTCACCTCAACGCTGCTATGCTCTGCTGGTCAGCCACATCTGGACTCGTCACGCTCGCTCTCGTCAACGAAGCAATGCACCCACAATGCCCCATTCCAAGGCCCACTGACATTGCCCACTGCTGATCGCACCCATTGTCTCACATTTTTATAGCCATCACTTTGTTTTTTACTTCTGCCATAAAATAGTTTAATGAAACGCACCACCTGTGCGAGCATTCACCTCAAGCTTGTGGTTATTTGTGCCTTATGAGGAAACGTTTAACAACAGATAATTAGCATTGGGGAAGCGACTTTGCTACACATAATTGAAAGTGGTTAAGCAACAGGCAAGTGGTTGGCTACATTTACAAGCTGTTAACCACTACATTGCAGCTGTTTAAACAAGCAATATATTTAATAATTATTCTAAGTTAAGTAAATATATACATTTCATATAATGAAATAAATCAGAGCAATATTTATCCAACTCAAAAACGGCTTAAACTTGACAGATCAAAAACTGATCAGTTACTTCAAATACAATTAAAATTGGCATGAAACGAAATTCACACTCTCATCTGTTTTATAAATGCGTGTTGT